AAACGTTGCACAAGTAACCACAATTCAGGTGACTGTTTTATATTCTTTTTCTTTCTTTTTTTCAATTTATTTATTTTATTTTTTTGACAGGCAGAGTGGACAGTGAGAGAGAGAGACAGAGAGAAAGGTCTTCCTTTTGCCGTTGGTTCACCCTCCAATGGCCGCCATGGCCGGCATGCTGCGGCCGGCGCACCACGCTGATCCGATGGCAGGAGCCAGGTGCTTTTCCTGGTCTCCCATGGGGTGCAGGGCCCAAGCACCTGGGCCATCCTCCACTGCCCTCCTGGGCCACAGCAGAGAGCTGGCCTGGAAGAGGGGCAACCGGGACAGAATCCGGCGCCCCGACCGGGACTAGAACCCGGTGTGCCGGCGCCACAAGGCGGAGGATTAGCCTAGTGAGCCGCGGTGCCGGCTTATATTTTTTTTTTCTTTTTTTTTAAATTTATTTGAAAGGCAGAATTACAGACAGGCAGAGGCAGAGAGAGCAAGAGAGAGGTCTTCCATCTGTTTGTCCACTCCCCCAGGTGGCCAAAATGGCTGGAGCTGGGCTAATCCGAAGCCAGGAGCCAGGAGCTTCTTCTGGGTCTCCCACATGGGCGCAGCGGCCCAAGGGCTTGGGCCATCTTCTACTGCTTTCCCAGGCCATAGCATAGAGCTGGATCAGAAGTGGAGCAGCCAGGTCTTGAACCGGTGTCTGCATGGGATGCCAGCTTGGCAGGCGGCAGCTTTACCCCCTACGCCACAGTGCCAGCTCCTATCTCAGCTGCTTTTGCAGAGTAGGAGCACCTGCTCATGCCTGGTCTAATCTCACCACCTGTGCACCTGAAGAACCAGCATGACAAAACAGAGAAGGAATGCGTTGCCACGGATCTAGTGAACACCACTCAGCACCATGTGGGGACCAGATACCTGCAGCTCCTTCATGGTTTTGCCATCCCAGAACCCCTGTATCCTCTTAAAAAACAAACACAAAACACCCCGAACACTCTCTTTTAGCAGAGTTTTTGAGACCATGAGGTCTGCTACCTTCTCACCTGTCAACAGATTAAATGTTCTCTTTCCTTCACCCCAAAACCTTGTCCTTGTTACTTTGATTTGGCACCAGTGACAGGAACTGAGATTTTGGTAATGGCACCACCATCTCAGGGACTAGGACATTGGGCTTGTGTTGTGGCGTAGTGGGTTAAACCACCACCTGCAGTGCCAGCATCCCATATGGGCACCAGTTCAAGTCCTGGCTGCTCCACTTCCAATCCAGTTCCCTGCTAATGTGCCTGGGAAAACAGAAGAAGATGGCCCAAGTGCTTGGACCCCTGTACCCATGTGGAAGACCTGGAAGAAGCTCCTGGCTCCTGGCTTCAGCCTGGACCAGCCCCAGCCACTGCAGTCACTTGGGGGAGTGAACCAGCAGATAGAAGACCTCTCTCTCTCTCCCTCTCAATCCTCCCCCTGTAACTCTTTAAATAAATAAAATAATTTTTTTTTTAAAAAAAGAGAGACAGAACTGAGACGTGACAGGCTGAAGGGGCTCCCTGAGAGTGCCCATATTCTCATTCTCTTTCTTTTTCCTTCCTTCCTTCCTTTCTTTTTTCTTTTCTTTCTTTCTTTCTTTCTTTTTTTTTTTTTTTTTTTTTTTTTTGACAGGCAGAGTTAGACAGTGAGAGAGAGAGAGAGAAAGGTTCTGTTGGTTCACTCCCCAAATGGCCGCTACGGCTGGCGCGCTGTGCCGATCCGAAGCCAGGAGCCAGGTGCTTCCTCCTGGTCTCCCATGTGGGTGCAGGGCCCAAGCACTTGGGCCATCCTCCACTGCCTTCCTGGGCCACAGCAGAGAGCTGGACTGGAAGAGGAGCAACTGGGACAGAATCCGGTGCCCCAACCGGGACTAGAATTTGGGGTGCTGGTGCTGCAGGTGGAGGATTAGCCAAGTAAGCTGTGGCGCCGGCCTCATTCTTTCTTTTCTTAATAGTTTTGCCATATCCATAGGCATCCCTGGGCAGAAGGTGTTTAGTTTTGCCTGTTGTTGGTACTCTTCAGCTAGGATTGTTGTAACAATGCACCACAAACTGGGTACCTTGAACAGACACTGATCATCTTTGGTTCTGTAGATTAGAAGCCCAAAATCAAGGTGCTGGCAGGGTTGTGGGTGGGGTATCTGCTCTAGGCCTCTCTGCTCAGCTTGTGGATGGCCCTGTGTCTCCACATATCTACCGGCCTTGTCTTCCTCCTCAGCTTGTCTGCGTGGTCTGGCTTTCCCCTTTCTGGAAGGAAACCTGTAATGTGGGATTAGGCCCTACCCCAGTGACCCCGTGCTAACTGATGACTACTGTAAAGACCCCGTCTCCAAATAAGCTCATGATCTGAGGTCTCGGGAATTAGAACTTCATCACCTGACTTTTGAGGTGGGACACAATTCAGCTACATTGCCACGGTGAACGTTCTTGGGAACGCAGACTCTGAGATGGAGTTGGACGTGCATGGGTGGTGTTCGCAAAGCTTGGTCTTTGGAATCAACATCTGGGGATGGGAGATGGAAGCAAGACTGTGCAGAAGGCAAGTTAAGCTGGGATACAGACCTGGCTGGCTCCCCAGGGGGCTCTCTGCTCTGGCAGCAGGGCTGGGCTGGGCTGAGAGGAACAGGCAGCTGTCTGTAGGGGAGGCCCTCTGTGAAGGGTTAGCTGCTGAGGGCACCTGTCAACAGCATTCCAGCAGCCAGGACGGCAAGCCTTCATCAAGGGCTCGAGGGCAAGGCATCACATTGTCTGCAATGCTGGCTTTGACTTTCATAAAAATGGGGTGCCAGGGCGGGGGTTGCTGACGCTGTGGCATAGCAGGTTAAGCTGCTGCCTGCAGCACTGACATCCCATTGGTTTGAGTCCCGGCTGCTCCACTTTTTTTTTTTTTTTTTTTTTTTTTTACAGGCAGAGTTAGACAGTGAGAGAGAGAGAGAAAGAGAAAGGTTTTCCTTCTGTTGGTTCACCCCCCAAATAGCCACTTTGGCCGGAACTACGCTGATCCAAAGCCAGGTGCTTCCTCCTGGTCTCCCATGCGGGTACAGGGCCCAAGCACTTGGGCCATCCTCCACTGCCTTCCTGGGCCACAGCAGAGAGCTGCACTGGAAGAGGAGCAACCGGGACAGAACCGGCGTCCCAACCAGGACTAGAACCCGGGGTGCCAGCGCCGCAGGTGGAATATTAGCCTAGTGAGTGTGGCACCAGCCAGCTGCTCCACTTTTGATTCAGCTCCCTGCTAATGTGCCTGAGAAAGTAGGAGAGGATGGCCCAAGTGCTTGGATCCCTGCACCCATGTGGGAGACCCTGGTTGTTGCGGCCATTTGGGGAGTGAACCAGTGGATGGAAAACCATTCTATCTGTCTCTACCTCTCTCTGTATCTCTGTCTTTCAAATAAATAAAATAAATCTTTTAAAAAAAAAAAAAACATTGGTGAAGTCACATAGGTGACTTCACACTGTGCCTCCAACTGTAATTCATTATACAGGGTTTATTTTTCGCTCCCTCCTCTTCCTTGTCTGTAACCTCCCACACTGACAGTAAGAAAGAAACCTGCCCTGCCACCTGCCATCCGTTCACTTCACTGTTCGATTCCAGGGCACTTGGTGGTGGCTTCAGGACCGTTAGCCAGGGCTTGCCTGGGAATCCACTTCGTGGGCAGGAGGACAGGGCCCTTCATCTTGCAAATGCCACTCATTTCCAGAGTTACTTAGGTCCATGTCTTTTCTTCTCACCCTCTGCAGTGTTGTTTTTCACACATTTGTGATACGGCTGCATTATTTTACTAGATGCCATTCTGGGATCCTCTGACCTAAATGCATCAGGAATCAATTTCTAAAACTCACAATCTGAGTGCTAAGGAATTTCTTTTTAGACCTATGCAGCGAACAGAGCCAGGAAATATATATATATATATATATATATTTTGTGGCTATAATGTTTTCTTTGTTAAAAAAAAACCTTTTTATTTAGTTATAATTAGCATATCATATAACCCACCCATTTAAAGTCCACAATTCAATGGCTGGGAGCACATTCAGAATTGCGCAACCATCACCACAGTCCAGTTTAGATCATTTCCCTCAGCTCACAAAGAAATCCTGTATCCATCATCACTCTCCATTTCCCAGCCCCTTCCTATGCTCTCATGTCCCACCAGAAAACCTCCAATCTACTTTCTATCTCCATGAATTTGTCTTTTCTGAACATTGACCATAAAAGGAATCATATGGGGCTGGTGCTGTGGTGTAGCAGGTAAAGCTGCTGCCTGAAGTGCTGGCATCCCATGTGTGTGCCAGTTTGAGTCCCGGCTGCTCCTCTTCTGATCCAGCTCTCTGCTATGGCCTGGGAAAGCAGTAGAAGGTGACCCAAGTGCTTGGGCCCCTCACCCCTGTGGGAGACCCAGAAGAAGCTCCTGGATCCTGGTTCCCCATAGGCACAGCTCCAACCATTGCAGCCAACTGGAGAGTGAACAAGCAGATGGAAGACCTCTTTCTTTCTCTCTCTGCCTCTTCTCTCTCTGTGTAACTCTGACTTTCAATAAATAAATCTTTTTTTAAAAAGAGGAATCATACAACATGTAGCCTTTTATGCATAGCTTCTTTGATTTAGCATGTCTTCAAAATTAATGTTATTGTATGTGTCAGTATAGCACTGCTGTTTTCTTGAAGAATAATATTTCACTTTAAACATAATTTAAGGCTGGCGCCGCGGCTCACTAGGCTAATCCTCCACCTTGCGGCGCCGGCACACCGGGTTCTAGTCCCGGTCGGGGCGCCGGATTCTGTCCCGGTTGCCCCTCTTCCAGGCCAGCTCTCTGCTGTGGCCCGGGAGTGCAGTGGAGGATGGCCCAAGTCCTTGGCCCTGCACCCCATGGGAGACCAGGATAAGTACCTGGCTCCTGCCATCGGATCAGTGCAGTGCGCCGGCAGCAGCGCGCCAGCCGTGGCGGCCATTGGAGGGTGAACCAACAGCAAAGGAAGACCTTTCTCTCTCTCTCTCTCTCTCACTGTCCACTCTGCCTTTCAAAAAAAAAAACAAAACAAAACAAAACAAAACAAAAAAAAACCCATAATTTATGTAATTTTCACCAGCTGATAAACATTTGCATTTTTTTCACCTTTTTAAAAAAGAAGCATTTTATTTATTTGAAAGGCAGAGTGACAGAGGGAGGAGAGACACAGAAATAGATCTTCCATCTGATGGTTCACTTGCCAAATGGCCAATAGCTGGGGCTGGACCATGCCAAAACCAGGAGCCAAGAACTCCATCTGGGTCTCCCAAGTGGGTGGCAGGGACCCAAGGACATGGCCATCTCTGCTGTTTCCCAGGTACATTAGCAGGGAGCTGGTAGTGGTATCAGAAATTTATTTTTAATTATACAGTGTTGCTTCTTTTGAGGCTAGTGCTATGGTGTAGCAGGTGGAGCTGCTGCCTGCGAAGCCAGCATTCCACGTGGGAGCTGGTTCAAGTCTCTGATGCTCCACTTCCAATGCAGCCCCCGACTAATGTGCCTTGGAAAAGCAGTGGAAGATAGTTCAAGAGCTTGGGCCCCTGCCACCCCCTTGTGGGAGACTGGGATGAAGCTCCTGGCTCCTGGCTTCGGCCTGGCTTGCCCCTGGCATTGTGTCCATCTGTGGGGTGAACTGGCAGATCTCTCTCTCTCTCTCTCTCTCTCTGTAACTCTTGCTTTCAGATAAATAAATAAGTCTTTAAACAAACAAACAATTGTAATTCAGTGAAACTTAGACTTGGATTTGAGCTCTGGCTCTATTGCATTTACTTGGTGACTTCTGTCAACTTAAACTTTTGTGCCTCAATTTTGTCATCTGTAAAAGGGAAATAATCATTGTATCTATCTCTGTTGAAGAATATCTATCTCTGTGTTGAAGAATAACTGAGTAAAAATGCCTAGAACAGAGCCTTAGCAATCAGTGATAACTTCAGAAATGTTAGCTTTTACCATAGGTCTCAAATCATCTAGCAATAAAATTAAAGGTATTTTTTTCTTTTATTTTTTCAGGATTTTTTTTAAAAAAGACTGATTTTATTCATTTTAAAAGCAGAGTGACAGAGACATAGAGAGAGCTTCCACTAGTTTACTTCTGAAGTGGCCTTAACAGCCAGGGCTGGGCCAGGCCAAAGCCTGGAACTCCTGCCAGGTCTCCCACATAAGTGGTGGGGCCCATGCTCTGCTGCTTTCCCAGACACATTAGCAGGGAACTGGATCAGCAGCAGAGTAGCCAGAACTTGGACATGCACTCTGACATGGGATGCCAGTGTGACAGACAGCAGCTTAGCTCACTGCACCACTGTCCCGGCCCCAGGAAAGCTTTTTCAAATTAAAAACATTACCGAGCAGTGCCAGCATCCCATATGGGCACCTGTTCGAGTCCCAGCTGCTCCTCTTCCAATCAAACTCTCTGCCTGGGAAAGCAGTGGAAGATGGCCCAAGACCTTGGGCCCCTGCACCTATGTGGGAGACCTGGAGGAAGCTCCTGACTCCTGGCTTTGGATTGGTGCAACTCTGGCCATTGCAGCCAACTGGGGAGTGAATCAGCAGATGGAAGACCTCTCTCTCTTTCTCTTTCTGCCTCTCCTTCTTTCTCTGTGTACTACTCTGACTTTCAAATAAATAAATAAATCTTAAAAACAACAAAAAAAGTTGCTGCCTGCAGTGCCGGCATCCTATATGGGGCCGGTTCAAGTTCCAGCTGCTCCACTTCCAATCCAGCTCTCTGCTATGGCCTGGGGAAGCAGTAGAAGATGGCCCAGGTGCTTGGGCTACTGTATCCACTGGGAGACCCAGAAGAAGCTCCTGGCTCCTGGCTTCGGATCATCCTAGTTCTGGACACTGCGGCTATTTAGGGAGTGAACCAGTGAATGGAAGACTCTCTCTCTCTCTCTCTCTCTCTCTCTCAGTGGCTCTCTGAAACTCTGCCTTTCAAATAAATAAATAAATCTTCAAGAAACAAAAACCAACCAAACAAAAAAAATTATCAAATTTTATTTTGTTCAGAGGATACAAATTGAAAAAAAAAAAAGAGGGGGGTATGATTATGCAAAGGGAAAGCAAAGATTTTTGGTTGAAACAAAGATTTTCAGAAAATGTGATTTGGCTCCAAGGCACTGAACCAAGCTGTGGCTAATGTAAAATGCTGCAATCCTGCAGATGGTCCTTTGGGAGAAACATTCGTTTCTAAATTAGAATTCCAACCATATACTTCTTCAACACACTCGCTTGTTCCTGTGCAGATAAGAAGAGGAGGGGAGATCAGATGAATGCAGGAGAGCTGGGGGTGGGGGGGAAGGGGGGTCCCTGCCTCAGCTCAGCCCAGCTGGAGCCCCCATCCACTGACTCCAGGGGCTGTCACTCCCCACTGAACAGCACAGGCTGCAGCAAGTCTCAGGCTGGGGAGTTGCTGAGGGCTGCAGGGTCACTGCGCCAAGGCCAACCCGAGCGAGCAGACAACTCCAGAGCTGCTACTCAGCACCAATGAACACCGCACTGCAGAGCTTATTTCCACAAGGAAGGCACTTGCTATTCATCAAAACATGTAACAGGGAGAGCCCAGCCGAGAAGCCAGATAGAGCCAAGTGGGGATTCTCATTTTGCCTCTGATCAGTTGTCAGGGCTTGGGATGTACTATTTATCTTCCCTGAATCTGTTTCCTCAACTCAGGAAAACAGTGAATGTAATTGTACCTACCTCCTAGAATTATTATTGTTTAATATTTGTTGATTTGTTTGAAAGTGTGAGACAGAGAGAGGGACACACACAGAGGCAGAGAGAGAGAGAGAGAGAGAGAGAGAGAGAGAGAGAGAGAGAGATCTGCTATCTCCTGGTTCATGCCTGCAATGGTGGGGGCTGGATCAGCCTCCACCCATGTCTCCCACATCATGGCAGGTGCCGAAGCACTTGGGCCATCACTACACCAGTGTCACAAGTAGTGGTTTAACACATTGCTCTACAATGCCAGTCCCGCTGCTGGAATTATTCTGAGGACTGAATTAGATGATAGATATAAGGAATTGGCCTACATTTGGTAATCAACAAGAATCATAATAAATAAGTCTTCAGATGCTCTTCTGGAGTTCAAATATCTGACAAGTAGATATTTATGCCATATAAACATTAACTAGGAAGTGAGGAGCATTTCATCTAGCAGCAAAGCTACCAGTTAAGAAGGGAAGCCAGCTTCCTTTGAGGGAGATCGCACCTGCTGACTCCTGATTCCAGCTTCCGGGTAGTGCCGACCCTGGGAGGCCTTGGTAATGGCACAAGTGATTAGGTTTCTGCTACCCATGTGGGAAAGCTGGATTGCATTCCCAGCTCCCACTTGGATCATGGTGGGCATTTGGGGAGTGAACCAGAGGATGGAAGCTGCCTGTCTCACAAATAAACATAAAAAATGTAAAAACACTGTTTCTAAATCTCAGCCCAGGTTTGCAACTGTTGCCAAGTTCAGAGCTGTAACCATCTACCTGTGGACTGCAGATGGTGGAAACAAGGTAGGAAGCCGGCTGTTCTGATACACAGGTTGTGAGAGGTGCAGAGGTGTACAAAGACAGCGTAGCCTGAACTGGGTAGCCTGAACTGGGTTCCCTCCGTGATAAAACTGTCCCCGCGTCTGGCATGTTTGTGCAGGGTTGTGTGTATCTGTGGGGTTTATCTGAGCCAAGGTGTTTAAAGTTGAGAGGGTGACGTCAGTGTTTCTGGGACTGACGCTGAAGTGGCTCTCAAACCAGGATTTTCTGGATGCCTATTTGAAACAGGCCCTGTCACTGGCACCACGGCTTCTGCAGACACTGCATGTGATCTCAGACCGTCAGCAAAGGCTGGAGGGACCGTCTTGCCTCAGACCTGGGGGTCACCTATGTCTCATGAAACCCCTCGATTCCTGACTGTTCTCGTGGTTAGAGCTGGTGACAGCAGATCATAAATCCTATGTAAATCAACCCCTTCTGGAGCATCCTCTCAATGCTCCCCCACAGACAGCCTGGGCACTGGTTGAAAGGAAGCCAAGGGCGAACTCCATTTTACACTGATTTTCAGTGAACACAAGATGCCTGTTTGCTGTCAAACCATTGAGGAAAACGGGTTCTGGACTTTTTTTTTTTTTTTTGCAATGATTTTTATCTCCTGCGTCTGGCACTGGCTAAGGTTTCAGGCAAACAGAGGCACAGAAGACATAGCAACAATCGCTGGGGAGCTTCCTGGTTGCTAGGAACAGTAAATACCACAGAGACACAGAGACTCCACCTTTCTCCTGCACACAATGAGACCTGGAGCTGGTTTCTCATTGCAGATACAAGAGTCCTCCAGGCAGAGCACAACAGCTTCTTTTCCCTCTTCCCTTCCTGTTAGATTTTTACAATTGTACACTTTGCACACGCTGCCCAGGTGCCTGCCTGTTGGCTTCTAAATTCACCCAAGAGCACTTAAGTTCACTAACCTCCGTCTCAGTGCTGCACGGGTGAGATGGCAGGAACCAGTGCTGTGCATCTGACCGGGGAATGCTGGGTACTGTGTGAGCTCCTCACCTTGTTTATGATCGCCCGCGGTCTGGGAGACTTACTGTGAGATGCTCGCCCTACTGCAAACATTCAGGAGTGATCTCCAAGCCTACTCTCCAATCTCTCTTCAGAAAAGACAGTAGAAGCATGCAGAATACAAAATGCAGCCCTGGAAACTTAAGATTTTTCCATGACTCATTCAAGGAAATTGCATAATAGCCTTTCCCTGCCAAGCTCCCACACTCTTCTCAAATACCTTGCTATTTTCCTTATTCTATTCCCTTATTCCCCAACCTGTCTCTCTTTCCAACCTTTCTCTGTGCCACTGATTCCCCCCCCCCCCCTCTTTTCTCTAAGGCTGTAAAGCTCTCTAGGGTCTTGTCACATGATGGGAAAGGTGATCGTGGAAATCTGAAGTACCCCCGACCTTGCTAGCTAGTCTGTTTCCTAGCAACAGCACATGTTGCTTAGTAACACAGGAGCTGAGAGAGAAGTTGCTCTTCCATATCTGAAAATAATGAAAGCCTTCAAAAAGATTAATAGTGGGCTTACTTATTAAAATAAGCTAAATCCAGAGACAATTTTACCACAGAGGGGACACAGTTCAGGCTATGCCATATTAGTAAACCTGTAACATCTCTTACAATCTGTGTAACAGATGCTGTTCAGATAAGCAGATGAAGGAGTGAATGCACAGCCTTTCCTCTTTCTCTTCTGCAGAGGGCACAAATCAATGTTGAAGTCCAAAGGGAGATGGAGAAATGTTTCCTAAATGATCATTTAGGCTGGGCAGATATAAAGACACTCAGCCTTCTCCAACTTTCCTCTTCTGCACATGAATAATTGATTTTTAAGTCTTAAGGAATATGCGGAAATATTTCTTAAGATGCCTGCTTTGGCTGGGCTTCTTTGGGCGTTGGCTTTCAGAGTGCCATCAGTGATTCTCAATCAAATTATCCAGGGCCTCTAGGGATCTAGAAATAACAGAGTCAGGAGCTGGCATCATGATGTAATGGGTAAAGCCTCTGTCTGCAGTGCCAGCATCCCATATGGGTGCCAGTTCGAGTCCTGGCTGCTCCACTTCTGATCCAGCTCTCTGCTATGGCCTGGGAAAGCAGTAGAAGATGGCCCAAGTCCTTGGGCTCCTGCACCCATTTGGGAGACCTGGAAGAAGCTCCTGGCTCCTGGCTTTGGATTGGCTCAGCTCTGCCAGTTGCGGCCATTTTGGGAGTGAACCAGCCAATGGAAGACCTTGCTCTCTCTGCCTCTTCCTCTCTGTAACTCTGCCTTTCAAATAAATAAATAAATCTTAAAAAAAAAAAATAACTGAGCCACAGCAAACACACTAAAACTGTTTGGCTCCAGAATGGTAAATTAATAATTCTGAAAGTTTTTATTATTACTTACTGAATTAGAGCTACTGAATCAGACTCTCTAGTTATACAACTGGGAATCCATATTTTTGACAGGCACCTCAATTGGTTCAGCACATTTAGGGATCGAGCCAACGTGTTTCAGGGGAAATTTTTTATTTTGGTTTCAAATTTACATACATAACTCTTAAAGAGGAAGCCTGGAAGGCTGAGTCCTAAATATTCTGTCACATCCTCCCCTTTACCTAGGCCCTTCAGGTAGTAAAAATTGGTCAAGAATTGGAAGACTAGTCATTTTGTTGTAGGCAGGCATACAGAATAAAATTGATCAGGTTTGTGAGCTAGAAGACCACGCCTCCACACCCTGCCCCATGTGACCTCATGCCATACATGGAAACACCTGTGCACCCACCTGCCAATCAGTCTAATTAACCACTCCCCTTTATAAGTGGATTAAAGGCCTGAAACATGGTGGGCCCAGCCCTTTTTTCCTTTTGCCCTAGACCCCTTTTCAGCCCTGTGCCTCCGGGATGTGTGGCCTTTGGGCCACCCGCCCCATGCATGCTTCCTGGCCTACATGCTCCTCCACGTGGCTGGCTCTTGGTGCTTGGTATGAATCCAGATTTCCCTCTCTCTTATATAGAGCTCTCACTCTCCTATGCATTTCTCCCACTGAATAAAAGCTTAAAACTTATCATGCTGCCTGGTTCATTTATGCCAGTATTCAAAATTCTTCTCTAAATTCATGGCAAGGGACAACAAGAGTTATTAATATTCCAAATTTATTAATAAGCATCCGGCAACATAAATGGAATCCCAGATGGGACTTCTAAGGGATATGTTTCCAATATTAATTTGTTCTATCTGCAAATATTAAGACAATTCTGACATATGAATGACATAATTTCGTGACAAGTTGGGGATAAATTTAAATGTATTAATACATGTGAAGTACTTAGAAAAATGCCTGGAACATAGTGCTAGATGAAGTTATCATTTTCATCTGGCTTAGTATGTCAAAAAGCTGGTCATAATGAATGGAAATTGAGAATATAGAATAACTGAGGATACTGAGCATATAAAATATTGAAGAGAGTAACAGAGAACAATAATTAATTAATAATTATTAATAATAATTAAAATATCGATAATAATAATTAATAATAATTTAGGTATGTTGAAAGTGGGATGTCTGGGGACATCCAGGGGAATAAAACCAATATGAACTAAGTCTCCAAGATGAGAGCATTTTTTTTTTTTTTTTGACAGGCAGAGTGGACAGTGAGAGAGAGAGACAGAGAGAGAAAGGTCTTCCTTTGCCGTTGGTTCACCCTCCAATGGCCGCCGCTGCAGCCGGAGCACCGTGCTGATCCGATGGCAGGAGCCAGGATCCAGGTGCTTTTCCTGGTCTCCCATGGGGTGCAGGGCCCAAGCACCTGGGCCATCCTCCACTGCACTCCCTGGCCATAGCAGAGAGCTGGCCTGGAAGAGGGGCAACCGGGACAGAATCCGGCGCCCCGACCGGGACTAGAACCCGGTGTGCCGGCGCTGCAAGGTGGAGGATTAGCCTATTGAGCCACAGCGCCGGCTCAAGATGAGAGCATTTTGTATAAGGCATTTTAAAAATAAATTTTGATTTTGTGTGGGATTAACTATACATACAAAAGAATCAGTTATAACTCCCAGTGTTTTATGTATAACAAGATCCAGGCAACTATAAACACTTTTGGAGGCATCAAATGCTTTTTTGTTCACTAGTAAATCAATCTTACCCTGGCTTATGTACAACACGGAATTAATTAAGACAAAGATGGAGAGAAAAGAGAAAAGCCCACATTTGGGGGTTGGGGGATGGGGTCCGGAGTGTCTTTTGATTACTATCAAATCCCTGGGGCCAGTGCACCATGGCAACCTCCCTGGTCTGCCACCTAATTTCCATCCCCTTTGGGAAGGCAGGGGGCCGGACAGAGGTGGTTCAGTCTGCATTATTTTTAAATGATCACATCTTTTCATTTTTTAAAGATTCAATCATTTATTTGAGAGTTAAAGTTATAGACAGAGAGAGGGAGAGATAGAGAGAGGTCTTCCATCTGCTGGTTCACTCCCCAAATGGCTACAATGGCCAGAGCTAAGCCGATCTGAAGCCAGGAGCCCAGAGCCTCTTCTGGGTCTCCCTTGCGTGTGCAGAGGCCCAAGGACTTGGGCCATCTCCCACTGCTTTCTTAGGCCACAGCAGAGAGCTGGATCAGAAGTGGAGCAGCTGGGACTCAAAATGGTGCCCATAAGGGATGCCAGCACTGTAGTCAGCAGCTTTAACCGCTAAGCCACAGTGCCGGCCCCCAGTGTGCACTCTTGTGCATATGTGTAATTTGGGTCAATGAAATGCAACCAAATTATAAATTGTGCTTCGTGGAGACAGATGATTTCCATCTTCTAAGTTTCTGTTCCTTCTTCTGTAAGAATGCTTTTGAGCCTCTTCAAATTTTGTCCCCTTTTTCAGATTTCATTGGAAGGCTTGGGTTAATCACCACCCCGATGCACTAGGAAGAAGTGCAAATTAAAATGTGTATCTGAGGACATAAATACTTCATTAAAAACAGTGCTTCAGGCCGGTGCCGCAGCTCAATAGGCTAATCCTCCACCTGCGGCACCGGCACACCAAGTTCTAGTCCCGGCCAGGGCCGGATTCTGTTCGGGTTGCTCCTCTTCCAGTCCAGCTCTCTGCTGTGGCCCGGGAGTTCAGTGGAGGATGGCCTAAGTCCTGCACCCGCATGGGAGACCAGGAGGAAGCACCTGGCTCCTGGCTTCAGATTGTAGGGATAGATTCCCTAGTTTGCTAAATAAGCTCTCCTGGAATTTATGACCTTCTGCTCCCCACCAGCTCCCCTGGAATTTATGGCCCAATGCTTCCCCCCAGTGACTCCCCACTCCCTGTGCCATCTCCTTTGTGTGACCTTCCCGCCACATAACGTATACAGCCTATACGTTTAAATGAACCAATGAACATGTTAGGTCCCAATGCCTACCATATAGAGAGTAAGAAGGTAACCTAGGTAGGAGATGACCTGCACCCTTGTAAGTGTGAGGCTATAAAAACCTCTCTTATGCAAACGAGAGGGCCTTTTGCCTGTGCACTGCTAAAGGGCTGTGTGCAGGTAGGGGGTCCTAGCCGGCTGGTACAAATAAACCTCTGCTTTTGCATCCGGCCATTGCGGGGTGAACCAATGGAAAAGGAAGACCTTTCTCCCTGTCTCTCTCTCTCTCTCTTTCACTGTCCACTCTGCCTGTCAAAAACAAACAAACAAACAAACAAAAAAACAGTGCTTCAGGGGCCGGTGCTGTGGTGCAGCAGGAAAAGCTATTCTAGCTCTCTGCTATGGCCTGAGAAAGCAGTACAAGATGGCCCAAGTCCTTGGGACCCTGAACCCACTTGGGAGACCTGGAAGAAGCTCCTGGCTCCTGGATTCAGGTTGGTCCAGCTCTGACCCTTGCAGCCATTTGTGGAGTGAACCAGCAGATGGAAGACCGACCTCTCTCTCTCTGCCTCTCTGTGTGACTCTGCCTTTCAGATAAATAAATAAATCTTAAAACAAAACAAAAGCAGTGGTTTGGGACTGGTGTTGTGGCACAATGGGTTATGCAGGCACAATCGCCTGCAAAGCCAGCATCCTGTATGGGTGTCGGTTCTAATCTCAGCCACTCTGCTTCTGATCTAGCTCCCTGCTAATACACTTAGAAAAGCAGTGAAAGATGGTCAAGTCCTTGGGCCCCTGCCACCCACGTAGGAGACCCAGATGAAGCTCCTAGCTCTGGTTTTCCCTCAGCCATTGCTGTCATTTGGGGAGTGAACCAGCCAATGGAAAGATCTTCCTCTCTCTGTCTCTCCTTCTCTCTCTGGAACTCTGCCTTTCAAATAAACAAATAAATCTTAAAAAAAAAAAAAAAAAGTGGTTCAGGAAATGATTGAACATCAAAGTATTCTACCACCAGAGACACATTTTCAGAATTACAGAATATAGATACCTATCATGCTGTTGTATATCTTACTTCTGGAATAGAAAGTCAGTAATATGTATCTCTGCTATATACTGAGTCTTTCCCAACATACATGAAACTCAACCAGAATGACTACAAATAATTCTTACCATGGTTATCCAGGAAAAAACTAGTATGCAGTAATATTGCACTGTGTTGCCCAAGTTTGAGGGAAAGCATGTTATATTTTAAATAAAATTCTGGATTCCAGAGAGAGGGTCATACTCTTACCTAACTTTTTAGCACTGGAGTGTGCCCTGGGTGACTTCAATGGTTAGTCTTTCGAGGCCACCCACGATGAGAGCGAATTTCCTCAATGTCATAATCACTGTAACATTGCTAGATCCTAAAATGAAGACCAGCATAAATTCAGTGTGGTGACATAATCAGACCCACCTCTTTGTTGAATTTAGACTTTGAGGTGTACTTTGCAAGAGAACTTAAGAGAAATCTAGTTGTTTGAATACAGCCATGGGCATTCGAACATACGCCACTCAGGCAGGTGACACGCAGGTATGGGCACGCTGTGAAGGGGACAGAGGTAGTAACATGGTGTGAGACAAGACACACTGAGCAGAAAAAAGTGGGGACTGTGACTTCACGGCACCTGGAAAACCACACAGCCAGCTTTGCCTTTGTGTCAGGCAGCTCCTGTGTGGCCTCTGTTCCCTAGCTCTCAAGACATTGTATTGCATTTTGAACTCCACCAGAGCAACATTTCCTACTGTCTTTTATTCCAAGCCCTTGTTATATGTTGATTTCCTTGTTGTAAAATCCAAAACGGGGTCATAGCTGTGGGATAGGAGGTAAAGTCAACACCTGCAGTGCTGGCATCCCATATGGGTACCTGTCCTGGCTGCTCCATTTCCAATCCAGCTCTCTGCTGTGGCCCAAGAAAGCAACAGAAGATGGCCCAACTCCTTGGGCCCCTGCACCCATGTGGGAGACCTGGAAGAAGCTCCTGGCTCCTGGCTTCAGATTGGTGCAGCTCTGGCCGTTGAGGCCACTTGGGGAGTGAACCAGCAGATGGAAGACCTCTCTCTCTCTCTCTGCCTTTCCTTCTTTTTCTGTGTAACTCTGACTTTCAAATAAATAAATAAATCTTAAAAAAAAAAAAAACACTTTAAAAAATCCAATGAGTACTCTTCCGTCTTTACTTAACAATTTCTCTACAGTATTTTATATTATGCAGAGCCTTCTTTGTTAATTTTTTTTGAGAGGCCAAGAGAGAAAGAGACAGTGCTGTTTCATTCTCCAAATGCCTGCAATGGCCAAGGGCCAAAGCTAGGAGCTGGGAACTCAATCCAGGTTTTCTACATGGGTGGCAAGAACCCAATCATTCTACTTTGGAAATTTATATTCATTAAATAAAAGATAAAAAAAAAAAACTTAAAAAAAAAAAAAAATGGGGGGGAAAGCCATTGTAACCCATGAGACGTACTTTGGAAATTTATATTCATTAAATAAAAGATAAAAAAAAAAAACTTAAAAAAAAAAAAAAAGAACCCAATCATTTGCTCTGTCACTTGCTGCCTCCCAAGGTCTGCATTAGCAGAAAATTGGAGTCAGGAGCAGGAAGCGGGAGTCAAGTCCACATTCCAGTGTGGGCTGTGGGCATTACAGCTTAGCCCACCCCTCAGTACTCTCTTGGCATTCTCTCCTTTGTTTATAAATGTCAAGGTCATCTCCTTGAACTTCTCCTTCTTCTGGACACTACTTCTATCCTCTTCTGACACTTGTTTCTCTGGTGGTCTTTTACTGTTGTTCATTTATTAAATCTATTCCCAAACCTGGTAAGTCAACCTCCTAAATTTCCTCTTCTGTGGCATCACTTGAAATTCTGTGTCACACTGGAGAATTCTAGTCTCCTAACATCCCACTGGCATTAGAACCATACTGTTAGACTTCAAGTGTAGGTCTCTGCCTCTGTCCCAGCGCCAACTTGAGATTCCCAGTGGCCACCAAGACTTTTGCTCTCAATCCCTCCATCACCTCAAATGGTTTAACACTCAATGTATAGCTCGCGTCAACTCAACTTTCCTGACCTTAACACCCTCCTCCCAACACACAGACAGACACACATTTCCTGCTCAGACTCACTTCTCTTTTCAACTTCCCTATTTCTGTCAATAGCACCACCACCAGTTCATTCTCTTAGGCCTGTAGGCTAATTATTTTAGAGTTAATTTTGACTCCTTCCTTTCTTTTACTATGTGTCCAACCAAACACGCCAAGACTCTTTCTTTGAATGATCTCTTCCATTATCTCTTTCTATTTCACTGTTGATTATGAAGGTCTGGAACCTTCAGCTTAGATTATTGCAATATTTGGGTCCCTGCCACTCACATGGGAGAGGAGACCCTGGCTCAGTCTCCCTCCTGCCCACCATTGAAGGTATTTGGGGAGTGAACCAGCCGATGTCTCTATCTCTCTGCCTTTCAAATACATAAACCTTGGGAGGAAAATTATTTCTGGGAGATCTAATAACAAACAGGAGGGACTTTAGTTTCAAGGAGTGATAGGAGCATAACCCAGACTGGAATGGATTTAGAAGCAAAAAAGGAGGAAGAAGTAGAAAAGTGTTAGAGAGTTCCCTTATTTCCTATGTAAGTTATGATATGTGGGATCATGCATGAGGTCCCTCTCCATACACCAAACACATGCTACTTTCAAACCTACCCATATGTGCATGCTTTAACATCTCAATTAGATTGGAAGATTTCAGAGAAAAGAGAATTCCCTACTACCAGTGATGGTCTAGGGCTCACTTACAGACACAGAGTAAATGCTTTTTTTTTTTTTTTTAAGAGAGATTTATTTATTTATTTGAAAGTCAGAGTTACACAGAAAGGGAAGAAGAGGCAGAGAGAATCAGAGAAAGAGGTCTTCCATCCGATGGTTCACTCCCCAACTGACTGCAACGGCCGGAGCTGTGCCGATCCGAAGGCTGGAACCAGGAGCTTCCTCTAGGTCTCCCATGCGGGTGCAGGGGCCCAAGGAATTGGGCCATTTTCTACTGCATTCCCAGGCCACAGCAGAGAGCTGGATCAGCAGTGGAGCAGCTGAGACTCAAACTGACACCCATACAGGATGCTGGCACTTCAGGCAGTGGCTTTACCCTCTGTGCCACAGCACTGGCCCCAAGTAAATGCATTTTAAATATAAATGGTGGTGCCAGCGCTGTAGCATACTGGGTAAAGCCGCTGCCTGCAGTGCCGGCATCCCATATGGGTGCCGGTTCAAGACCTGGCTGCCCCTCTTCCAATCCCGCTCTCTGCTATGGCCTGGGAAAGCAGTAGAGGATGACCCAAGTCCTTGAGCCCCTGCAAACACATGGGAGATCCAGAGGAGGCTCCTGGCTTCGGATTGGCACAGCTCCATCATTGCGGCCTTCTGAGGAGTGAACCAGCAGATGGAAAACGTCTGTCTCTCTCCTTCTCCCTCTCAAATAAATAAATTAATTTAAAAAATTTATGATAAATTACTTTGTTAAATACTTTTAGATTAGCATAGAGAGCTGTTCATTTAATTCCACAAGCATGTATTACTATCCACTGTACGCCAGGCACTTTACAAGCAACTAGGACTCAACTTGCATTTTAACAAAGCAGAGTATAGACATGCAAAGAAATCATCAGAATTCCGTAAGTATTATGAAAGAGAAATGTTTCATGCTATTACTCTGTACAAGAATGATCGTTAGCAAAATATTTAAACATGCATAATGATACTGTAAAAACTGGTGGGGCCAGCATTGCGGCTGAATATGTTCAGCAGCTGCCTATGATGCCAGCACCCCATATGGGTGCAGGTTCAAGTCCTGGCTGCTCCACTTCCTATCCAGCTCCCTGCTAATGTGTCTAGGAAAGCAGCAGAAGATGGCCCAAGTGCTTGGATCCCTGCCACCCACATGGGAGACCCGGAAGAAGTTCCTGGCTCCTGGTTTTGGCCTGGCTGAGCCCTATATGTTGTGATCACTTGAAGAGTGAACCAGGCCAGCGCCGCGGCTCACTAGGCTAATCTTCCGCCTTGCGGCGCCGGCACACTGGGTTCTAGTCCCGGTTGGGGCGCCGGTTCTGTCCCGGTTGCCCCTCTTTCAGGCCAGCTCTCTGCTGTGACCAGGGAGTGCAGTGGAGGATGGCCCAAGTACTTGGGCCCTGCACCCCATGGGAGACCAGGATAAGTACCTGGCTCCTGCCATCAGATCAGTGTGGTGCGCTGGCCACAGTGCGCTGGCCACGGCGGCCATTGGAGGGTGAACCAATGGCAAAAGGAAGACCTTTCTCTCTGTCTCTCTCTCTCACTGTCATCTCTGCCTGTCAAAAAAAAAAAAAAAAAAAAAAAAAGAGTGAACCAGAGGATGGCAGATATCTGTCTCTCCCTCCCTCTGTGCAACTATTTCAAATAAAAAAGGAGAGAAAGGGGATGAGACTACTGGATAACATATACAGGGCCCCAAATGTTTCAGGAATCATTCTGATTTTACTGAGTCATTAATACCATAAATCAAAACTCTGCCACCCCCTACTTTTGAATAATCCTACCCAGGCTGGGGTGAGCAAGTTTAGTATAGTGTTTAAGATGCCACTTGGGAAGCTCCCATCCCATGTCAGACTACCTGGGTTTGAGTCCCAGCTCCTCTTCCAATCCAGCTTCTTACTAATGTACATTCTTTTTTGAAGGCAGAGTCATAGAGAGAGAAGGCGAGAGAGAGAGAGAGAGAGAGAGAGAGAGAGAGAGAGAATCTTCCACCTGCTGGTTCACTCTCCAAGTGGTCGCAATGGCTGGAGTTGGAGTTGGCCCAGGCAGAAGCCAGGATCCAGGAGCTTCATTCAGGTTTCCCATGTGGGTGAAGGGGCCCAAGCACTTGGGCCATCCTCTGCTGCCTTTCCAAGTGCACTAGCAGGGAGCTGGATCAGAAGTGGAGCAGTCAGGGCTCGAGAAGATATCCATATGGGATTCCAGCAATGTAGGCGGTGGTTTTACCCACCATGCCACAGTGCCGCCTCATTAATGTACATTCTGGGAGGCAGCAGGTGATAGCTCATGTATGTGTGTCTCTGCCACCCATGTAAGAAACCCAGATTGAGCATCTGGTTCCTGGGTCCCATCACTCATGTGGGAGACCTGGATGAAGCTCGTCCTCCTGATTTCAGCCTTGCTGAGCCTGGGCCGTTGAGGCCATTTGGGGACCGAACCAGCAGATGGAAGATCTCTCGTCTCTCCCTCTCTCACTTTGTAACTCTGCCTTTCAAACAAATACATATTTTAAAAATTAGCAGTAAAAATAGGAAGTAAATTAGTAAGAAAAAATTTTTTTTTGCTTTCCATAGTTTGAATGCTTTTAAATCAGATAATGAAGAAACAAAAAGAACAGAGTGGTTATTTTCTCTGATCTCCCGCTTATATATTTAAGATTGTCAAATACACTATTGCTGACCTAGATCTTATTGTTACTTCTGCCCAAGAGGAGGGAGAAAGACCTTCATTTACACAAAGAACAGAATGGCTCTGAGATAGAGTTACAAAGAATCAATACCATGAACCCTCCTCTCTTGTAGTTAAGTCTCTGTAAAACACAAAAAGGACTGAAATTACTGGGGCGATGAAAATTTTCTTAATTTATTTTTTTCTACTGTAAGGAAAATAGAAATTCAAGACTATTGCTCATTCCAAAAAGAAGATTTCTATACTTACTATATACAGTCTAGCAATGTTTGATTTCCTTTGTTATTAAAATGGTTTAAGCATTTTTAATGATCTATTAATCTTTATGCTCTCTAGGCCATTTACTTTTTATCTTTGTTAAACACACTTCTGGGTTCAGAAAGTATTCAAGTCATCCTCAATCCTTCTGTCTCTTTACTGAAATATATTTTATTGGCTAAAAGGATTGCAACAAGGTGATGTTGACTACTTTTACAATGAAATATGCAAGCAGTAGATAAAATGGCTTGTGTGTTAGGCTTCATTTTTTTCTAGAGAACTTACTGCAGCAAATCTGTGCAAGCAAAGCAGAGGTGTGGCTAGCGCAGTCCCACAGCCGCCATTGTCATCCCACAACCTGCAGTGCTGCCCACGCCCTGCTCTGCCCACCAGCCCGCAGCAGTGACTGGGCTCCACAGGGCGCTGTAGTAATGCAGCCCCCGAAAATCAGTTGCTGGAAATTGAAAGGAAAAACAGAAATTTCTATTTTTGATAGTCAAACAAATCTCTTTACCTCTGAAATGTCATCCACAATGGCAAGAGGTGCACAGCCCGGAGACCTATTTTGCATAGCCCATCCTTGATGAGAATGGAGCTGTTCTGAGCAGCAAACCATTTCCTAGGGGGGAAAGCAAAGCCTTTTTTGTCCCCAAGAGGCCTCTGGGCAGCCACCAGTCTCCAGCTGAATAACAGCGGTGTGAGGCCGGCTAAGGTTCCCACAGTTAGGAGGGTGTGGACCCCATTCTTATAAGCACTATATAAAAATGGACTGCGGTTGAACTGAGACTGCAGAGTTGCCTGCAGATGGAGGCAACAATACAAAGTGGTCCTCTTTTTGCATCCTACATCTTTCTTGTCTTCTTTTTAATTTAGTGTTTTGGTTACTCTTTTTTGTTTGTAACTTTCCCAAAAGGCGAGCAATGCAGAAATATAATTGCACACACAAGGGATACCGGTTTCTGCAGTCAATTCTTTCTCCTTGTGTTTTCCCAATTCTGTATTGGGAACGATGATTCATTTCTACATCTCACAAAATATATTACAGAGTCTTTTGGCAAATGAGTATCTCTCATCAGCTAACCCTCATGTGTCCATTAGCTCTCACCGACTGCAATGCTAGAACCTTTTGTGTTCTTTTATGCGGTATGGCTATGCCTCCCATCACCCATTTTGTTGAGCTATTTGGGTGTCTGTGCCCAAAAGAAGATATGAAAATACATTAATTGAACCTGCAGAGCCTTTTTTTTTTTTTTTTTGGATGACTGTATTACCGGGTCCTTTTCTAATTAAAATAAGAGAGAAAGGGAAAGCATATTTACTCAAACCATTTTGAGTATCGCTCCCGTCTTTCCCACTTTATTTTTAAAGCAATTCGAGATGCTGGTTCGTAACCAAATGTAGCTTAGTGTACTGTCAGGGGGCGATTCTTCACGAAGATTCCATCTCAACACAAATGCTACGATTGAAACCGTACCTAGGTGATTTTAGCTGCAGGTTGAGACTGAAGCGATAGAAAATGATCTAGCCGCAGTCCTCTTTCTTCCCTTCCGCCCCTCCCGAGAGCCCCACCCCGTAATGGATGCTGGGCTGCCGGCTTTGGCTCGGTCTCTTTGTCTGAAGGATGCAGTCTATGGATACTGGGGGAAAACGGGTGGGGGAGCGATTACCTCATCCCATGTCGCCTGCACCAATCAGCACTCTTCTGCCGCGGCTTCTCCGGGCAGAGAGAGGGGTCTGGACCAACAGGAAGAGGCCCCGGCCCATCCCCATGGCGACCGGGCTGTATATAGGCGGCCGCCACCGCCCGAGCCGCAGGTTCTCTTACATCGACCGCCTAAGAGTCGCGCTGTAAGAAGCAGCAGCCTCCCTCTCGGCCTCCGCGCGCAGCAGCAACCATGGTAAGCGCCGGCCCCCCAGGCGGCCCGGGGAGCCCTTTGTAGCCTTTTTTGTCCAGGGTGGCTTTGTTTGCTTTCGGTCCCTACGCCCTGCCGCTGCCGCAGTGCGGAGCCAGGGCCCGGCCGGGACGAACAAAGGCGACGCCAGGGAGTGTTTGTCGCCGAGGACTCCCCGGGGCCGCAGCTGCCCCTCCGGCGGGGCGGGAGGGTCCGCAGCCGGGCGGGGCGTGCGCTCCGCGCTCGTGGGGCTCCCCGGGGACCTGCAGCCCGGGGGCGCTGGGTGTAGCTGGGCGCGGAGAGGAGGACGGGAACCGAGGGAAGCCTCGGGTTGGCGCAAGACCCTTGCGTTCTAGAGAGACAGCCGTCTACTAGCGGCTGGGGCCGGGGCGGCGCAGGGGCGGGGTTGTTTGTTTCTGGCTTCCCCGGTGTTGGAGCCGCCGGACCGGGTTCGCCCTCGCTCAGCCTCCGCGGTCACGGGGAAGCCTTGAATAAAAGCCTTGCATCACCGCGGAACTGAAGACTTCAAAAGGGTTTTCATTACCTGCTAAAGCTCAGATGAAAAAAAATTGTTTTCTCGAGGCCCAGAATCCCAATTCACAAGCCCTTTAAAGTCTGGTCCAGCGTGGCCACGCCCTTGAGGGCTGCGGGGCCGGGCTGTGGGGGGGCGCAGGGTCCGCCCTGGGTGCCTGCTGGGCTGCGGTCGGGAACGCCCGCCCCGCCCCCGCCCCAGGGAGCAGACAATGAAAATTGCAGCCCTAAAAGTGACAATCTCTGTGGGATGAGGAGTAAGAATTTTATGTGGTGGGTAAAGAATTTCAGAAAGAAAACACTTTTTTGTTGCTTTAAATACATATTTCACTGTCCTTTCACTGGGCTTTTGTTCTTTGCTAGCTTCTCATATAACATTTCTTCCTAACTCGCAAACTGTTGTTTCAAAAATACTAACAATTTTTCAGTTTTTTACAGTGGAGGCGATTCTGTAAAAACTTAAAGTAACACAATTGCTGCAGACAAAGAATTACATTCTGCTCTCCAGCCGTCTTTTGTTCTAGGGTGTCTTCATTAATTCATTTCGATTCAGGAGCATGGTCCCAGGCTGGGTCAGGGGAAGAACTAGCAAAACAGCACAATGAGATCATATAGGCAGTTGCTGGAAATAGAGCTTGCTCTGTTAAATAATGTAGCAGACAGTACAGGCTAGCGCCAGGCACAGCAAATAACGGCAGTGCAGCAATGCAGAGGCAGACTTTTGTCTAGCTTCTAATAACTCCTAGTATTGATGGATCCTGCAGGCAGACTGCAGAAGGGTGTGGCTTGCAGCTGCAGTACAGATGCCTCTTGGAATCCTAAGTCCTCTGCAGAAGAAACTAATCTCCAGTTAAAGGGGGAAAAAAGCAGTAAAATGAATTCCAATCCATGATTGGATTGAATTTAATTTACTTCATTTTACAAAATCTGTGCTTTGAAGCCATAAAAAAATCTTCCATTCAAGCATGGCTCTGTGAACAATGGGCTTGCACCATGTGCTAAACTGTGCCAAGGCGACATTATTATTCAGACCACACCCATCTGCAGTATTTGTAGCAGGTGCTTTTCTTTCATCGTTTCTATCATATTAGGGATAAAACTGCAAATAAATTTGAGGAAGATCTAATTACTAGAAATACTTTTAGAAATTTGCTGAAAATTCAAAATGCTAATACAAAATAATTTATATATATTTTTCTCTTTCCCTCACACAGCGTGAGTGCATCTCCATCCACGTCGGCCAGGCTGGTGTCCAGATCGGCAATGCCTGCTGGGAGCTCTACTGCCTGGAACACGGCATCCAGCCCGATGGCCAGATGCCAAGTGACAAGACCATTGGGGGAGGAGACGACTCCTTCAACACCTTCTTCAGTGAGACGGGCGCTGGCAAGCACGTGCCCAGGGCCGTGTTTGTAGACCTGGAGCCTACGGTCATTGGTGAGTTGGCCTCCGTGGCCTCAGTGAGAGCCACGGGTGCTGGGACAGGTCTGGGACAATTCTGTGAGGGGGGAGCCCCTGGCACCCCGGGGCCCTGCAGGCTGTCAGTGACAGGTGGCTGGTCTGCTTCCCTCTTCCAGATGAAGTTCGCACCGGCACCTACCGCCAGCTCTTCCACCCCGAGCAGCTCATCACAGGCAAGGAAGATGCTGCCAATAACTATGCCCGCGGGCACTACACCATTGGCAAGGAGATCATTGACCTCGTCCTGGACCGAATTCGCAAGCTGGTATGTTTCCTCTCAACAATAAAGTACATTAGTAAGTTAAGGGATGCTGTTTGGTTGAAACAGAATTGAAATTGAAAAAAGGTTTTTAAAAATTCAATTAAAACATGAACTATCTGATATCATTTTGTAAATACTGAGAATTTTTAAATGAAGAAATGTTGAGTAATTCCAAGGTCTTCGCTTTTTAAAAAGCATTTGTTAAAGTAAGATCTAAATTCTTAGAGATGTACGAAAAGTGAGACTATTTACTATGATTGTATCACAGACAACAAAGACTTAATCTTTTCTATTCCTCTCTTTTAAACAGGCTGACCAGTGCACGGGCCTGCAGGGCTTCTTGGTTTTCCACAGCTTTGGTGGGGGAACTGGTTCTGGGTTCACCTCCCTGCTGATGGAACGCCTCTCTGTCGATTACGGCAAGAAGTCCAAGCTGGAGTTCTCCATCTACCCAGCCCCCCAGGTTTCCACAGCTGTGGTGGAGCCCTACAACTCCATCCTCACCACCCACACCACCCTGGAGCACTCTGATTGTGCCTTCATGGTAGACAACGAGGCCATCTATGACATCTGTCGTAGAAACCTCGATATCGAGCGCCCCACCTACACTAACCTGAATAGGTTGATAGGTCAAATTGTATCCTCTATCACAGCTTCCCTGCGGTTTGACGGAGCCCTGAATGTTGATCTAACAGAATTCCAGACCAACCTGGTGCCCTACCCCCGCATCCACTTCCCTCTGGCCACATACGCCCCCGTCATCTCTGCTGAGAAAGCCTACCACGAGCAGCTTTCTGTAGCAGAGATCACCAATGCCTGCTTTGAGCCGGCCAACCAGATGGTGAAATGTGACCCTCGCCACGGTAAATACATGGCTTGCTGCCTGCTGTACCGTGGCGACGTGGTTCCCAAAGATGTCAATGCTGCCATTGCTACCATCAAGACCAAACGTACCATCCAGTTTGTGGATTGGTGCCCCACTGGCTTCAAGGTTGGCATTAACTACCAGCCTCCCACGGTGGTGCCTGGTGGAGACCTGGCCAAGGTGCAGCGAGCTGTGTGCATGCTGAGCAACACCACAGCCATTGCTGAGGCCTGGGCTCGCCTGGACCACAAGTTTGACCTGATGTATGCCAAGCGTGCCTTTGTTCACTGGTACGTGGGGGAGGGCATGGAGGAGGGAGAGTTTTCTGAAGCTCGTGAGGACATGGCTGCCCTGGAGAAGGATTACGAGGAGGTTGGTGTGGATTCTGTTGAAGGTGAGGGTGAGGAGGAAGGAGAGGAATACTAAAAATGTCGCAAAGGTGCTGCTTTTACAGGGAAGCTTTTTCTGTTTCAAACAGTGGAAATTTGGGGTCTGATCAGTTAATTTGTATGTAGCAGCATATGCTCTCATATACAATTACTGAGTTATGCTTTGAAACATGAATGCTTTGTCGGGGACCCAAGCGGTTCATTTCTCTGATGGGTTTTGAATAAAGTATTCCCTGTCTTAAATAAATTCAGTGTTGTGTTTTTTATTCGAGTGTCTGGAAACTTCTATATATTCAGTACATTAAGAATTACCATTGCCTGTGGTCCATACACAAACTATTAAATGACTTTAGATTATCTTAGTGTTTTACATTTATTTTAAAAATAAAATGTGAACTCCAGTATTTTGGTTAAGCTGCTGCTTGCAATGCTGGCATCCTATCTGTGCTGCTTCCAATCCAGCTTCCTGCTAATGCATTTGGGAAGGCAGTGGATGATGAGGGTTCAAGTGCTTATGCCACTGCCACCTGTGTGGGAGATCTAGATGGGAGTTCCTGGCTCCTGGCTGTTGTAGTGTTTGAGGAGTGAACCAGTGGATGGATTTCTCATCTTTCCTATCTATCTGTCACTCTACCTTTCAAATCAAGAGATCTTTTATTTAAAAAGCCAATCCATGGGGGCCAGCACTGTGGCATAGTGGGTAAAGCTGCTGCCTGCAGTGCCAGCATCCCACATGCGTGCTGGTTTGAGTCCTGGCTGCTCCACTTCCGATCTAGCTCTCTGCTATGGCCTGGGGAAGCAATGGAAGATGGCCCAAGTCCTTGGGCCCCTGCACCCGCATGGGAGATGAAAGAAGCTCCTGGCTCCTGGCTTTGCAATTGACATAGCTTCAGCTGCTGTGGCCATCTGGGGAGTGAACCTGATGGAAGATTTTCTCTCTCTCCCTCTTTCCCTCTCTCCCTCCTTCCTTCCCTCCCTCCTTCCTTCCCTCCCTCCTTCCCTCCCTCCCTCCCTCTCTGTGTAGTTGACTTTCAAATAAATAAATAAATCTTTGAAAAAAAGTTAATCCAAGGGCCAGCACTGTGAAATAGTGGGCTAAGCCTTGACTTAGAGTGCTGGCATCCCATATGGGGGCCAATTCTAGACCAGGCTGCTCCTTTTCCCATCCAGGTCTCTATGGCTTGGGAAAGCAACAGATGATGGCTCAAGTGCTTGGGACCCTGCACCCACGTGGGAGACCTGGAAGAAGCTCATGGCTCCTGGCTTCCGCCTGGCCCAGCCCTGGCTGTTGTAGCCATTTTGAGGGTGAACCAGTGAATGGAAGACCTCTCTGTCTCCTCTCTCCAACTGTGCCTTTCAAAATAAATAGAATAGGGGCCGGCGCCGTGGCTCACTTGGCCAATCCTCCACCTGAGGTGCCGGCATCCAATATGGGTACCAAGTTCTAGTCCAGGCTGCTCCTCTTCCAGTCCAGCTCTCTGCTGTGGCCCAGGAAGGCAGTGGGGGATGGCCCAAGTGCTTGGGCACCTGCACCCACGTGGGAGACCAGGAGGAAGCACCTGACTCCTGGCTTTGGATCCGCGTAGTTCTGGCCGTAGTGGTCATTTGTGGGGTGAACCAACAGAAGGAAGACCTTTCTCTCTGTCTCTCTCTCTCACTCTCACTGTCTAACTCTGTCAAATAAATAAATAATAAATCTTAAAGAAAATCCAATGCACAAAAAGTAAATGGAAACTAAATTAAATGTAAGGTTTTTTGTTTGTTTGTTTGTTTGTTTGTTTTTTACAGGCGGAGTGGATAGTGAGAGAGAGAGAAAGGTCTTCCTTTGCCATTGGTTCACCCTCCAATGGCCGCCATGGCCGGCGCGCTGTGGCCGGCGCACCGTGCTGATCCGAAGGCAGGAGCCAGGTGCTTCTCCTAGTCTCCCATGGAGTGCAGGGCCCAAGCATTTGGGCCATCCTCCACTGCACTCCTGGGCCACAGCAGAGAGCTGGCCTGGAAGAGGAGCAACCGGGACAGAATCCGGCGCCCCGACCGGGACTAGAACCCGGTGTGCCGGCGCCGCTAGGTGGAGGATTAGCCTAGTGAGCCGCGGCGCCGGCCTAAATGTAAGTTTTGAATGTACATTCCCAGCACTTAGCAAAGTGTTAAAAGTTAGGTAGATATACAAAGACTGTTGGTTGAATGAGTCAAATTTAGAATAAAAGAGATAAAGGCAAAAAATTCAGGTGCTGATGCTGTGGTGTAGCCGGTAAAGCCACTGCCTGCAGTGCAGCATCCCATGTGGGCACCGGTTCGAGTCCTGGCTACTCCACTTCCAAACCAGCACTCTGCTGTGGCTTGGGAAGGCAGTAGAAGATGGCCCAAGTTGTTGGGCCTCTACACACACATGGGAAACCTGGAGGAAGCTCCAGGCTCCTGGCTTTGGATCGACCCAGCTCTGGCAATTGTGGCCATTTGAGGAGTGAATCAGCGGATGCAGGACCTCTCTCTCTGCCGCTGCCTCTCTGTTTCTCTGCCTTTCAGATAAATAAATAAATCTTTAAAAATTACTAAAAATTCAAACAAGTTAAATATAAGTTTAATAATGCCAATTTTAATTACAATAGGAAAAAACATCCTTTAGCTTTGTCCACTGAAAACTCCTATGTGGCAATGAATGTCCCTTTCACTGAGATGGTGATTTCTAAATGCCATTGCCCATTAAAAGGAACCAGGATGTTTTGGAGGAAGGATTGATTCCAAGCCTGGAGCAGGAAATACACAAATCTAGCCTCAAATATTTTGTCATCCCAGAAAACAAAGATCATATAAAAGACTATTAAAGTATCAAAAGGATCCAAGAATCAAACATTGAGCCATTACAAACTATGGGGCAGGCGTTTAGCACGGAAATAAAGATGCCACTTGGGACACCCAGATCCCATGTCAGAGTGCCTGGGTTCAAGTCCTGGCTATGCTTCTAATTCCAATTTCCTGCTAACGCAGAGTCTGGGAAGTAGCAAGTAATGACTCAAATAATTGCCACCCATAAGCAATGCCCAAATTGAGTTCCCAGCTCTTGACTTCAGTCTGGCCCAGCCTTGGCTGGGAGTGAACCAGCAGGTGGAAGATCTCTCTTTGCCCTTTAAATAAATGGAAACAAAGAAATAAAAATATAAGATACGTTAAAATCCATGTGCTCATACCCTTTTTTATTTAATTAAAACCACAATGAAAAACAATATGACAGTTCTTCAAAAACTGAAACACAGGGAGGGGTATACACTTGGCCTACCATTTAAGACGCTGGTTAGGAAATGTACCATATCAGACTACCTGGCAGTGAACCCCTACACAAACTCCTGATCCCAGCATCCTGCTAATGCAGACCCTGGAAAGCAGTGGTAATGGCTCAATTAGTGGGGTTCCTGCTATCCATATGGGAAACTCACATCGAGTTTCTGGCTCCCAGTGTTGACCCCCTAGACAGTCAATGCAGGCATCTGGGGAATGAACCACAGAATTAGGTTCTCCATCTGTCTGCTTCCCAAATAAATTCTAGGAAAAAAATTTAAAAAGAAACAAAATGACCATATGATCTACCAACTCCACTTCTGGGTATATGCTACGATTAAACATGATTTAAGAGCCAGCACTGTGGTGTAGGGGGTAAAGCTGCCACCTGCAGTGCCGGCATCCCATATGGGTGCCAGTTCAAGTCCCAGCTGCTCCACTTCCAATGCAGCTCTCTGCTATGGCCTTGGAAAGCAGTGGAGGATGGCCCAAGTCCTTAGGCTCCTGTACTCACGTAGGAGACCCAGAGGATGATCCTGGCTCCTGGCTTTGGATGGGCCCAGCTCCTCCTGCTGATTCAGACCTTGGGAGACAGCAGTGTTGGCTCAAGTGATTGGGTTCTTGACACTCATGTGGGAGATCTGGTTTTAGCCCAGCTCAGAGCCATTGTGGGTATTTGGGGAGTAAACTAGCAGATCGGAGCTCTAATAATTTTTTAAATAAATAAGCAAATAATTCATCATTTTTAAAGAGTGTAGAGGATTTATCCTATTGGGATTTCTAGGAGGTAGGTCTAGAGGGAGGTCCTTAGGTCACTGCAGCATTGTGGTGTATTGGGTTAAGCTGCTGCCATAATGCCGGCATCTTATGTGGGTGCCAGTTAAAGTCCCAGCTGCTCCACTTAGGATCCAGTTCCCTATTAATGTGCCTGGGAAAGCAATGGAAGATGGTCCAAGTGCTTGGGCCCTTGCACCCACAGGGAAGACCCATCTGAGGCTCCTGACTTTGGCCTGGCCCAGCCCAGCCCTAGCAGTTGAGTCCATGTCAGGAATGAACCAGCAGTTAGACGATCTTTCTCTTTGTCTCTCTGTCACTCTGCCTTCTGAATAAATAAATAAATAAATAAATGGAAGGAGGAAGAGGAGGGGGGAGGGGAAAAGGAGAAGGAGAAGGGGGTTGTTCCTGGACAGCACTGGTCATAAAAGCCAAGTTGGTCCCGGTTGCTGTCTCTGCTTCCTGACTCATCATGTGACCCTTCCTCTGTGCATATTCTGCCATCCTCTGCCCTCATCAAACCCCAGGCCAACGGGGCCACTCAATCTTAAGACTGTAAAACTCTAAAACCATGAGCTGAAATCAGCTTCCTCCTTCCTGGGTAGCTTGTTTAGATATTTAGTTGCACCAATACAGTGACATCCAAAAGAACTGAAAGCACTGACATTTGTACTTCCATGTTCATAGCAGCATTATTCACTCATAACAGTTAAAAATTGGAGCAACTCTAATTTACATTAGGGAAGAATGGATGAACAAAATGTGGTACAGAGCCGGAACTGTGGCAAAGCAGGTTAAACCACCACTTGCAATACTCGCATCCCATATCAGAGCACCAGTTCCAGTCCCGGCTTCTCTGCTTCCTGTCCATCTCCCTGCAAATACACCTGGGAATGCAGTGGCTGGTGGCCTAAGTTTTTGGGCTGCTGATTCCCACATGGGAAAACCGGATGGAGTTCCAGGCTCCTGGCTTCAGCCTGGCCCAGGCTCACCTGTTGTAGTCATCTGGGAAGTGAACCAGTAGATGGAAGATTGCTCTCTCTCTCTGTCTCTCTGCCTTTCAAATAAATGAAAACCAAATTCTTTTTAAAAATGTAGTAAACACATACAATGGAGTATTATTCAGCCTTTAAAAAGAATGAAGTTTTGGGGACAGTGCCATGGCTTGGCTGGTAAAGCCACCACCTGTGGTGCTGG